TGATATAGCTGACATGGGGGCTAAATTTTAAAGTTTGTAAGGGAAGAATCATTACAGCAAAAATTTATCCTTGAAAATCCTCTACACAAGCTCAAAGTATATATATGTGTTTTTGTATAAAATCCTGTGTTATGATACTTATGTACACTTAAATTAGAGAATTACTGGATTAGGTTAAGCGAATAAAAGGAGATTCCATAGTGTAGATGGCTTAATAAAAGTAAAATTGCCTTTAGCTGTCAACTTGTTGGGTGAATAGGGCATGAATAGAAAACTCAAAAGTGTTCCCGCTTGCCTTCAGGTTATCTCAGAACATTTTAATATTAAGCCAGTGTTACCTTGAAATGAATAATGTTTTTTAAAATATAAATAAGATGTGATTCTGTTAACTCATCTAAAATGAGAGGTGAGAGACAGTGGTTAGAATAGGTGGTTGGTCTAAGTTAATGAGACAACACTCTTCTGCATAATATCATCATGTAGTGTGGGTCCTTTGTATCCTTACAGTTGCTTGAAGTTATAAAATCTTGTACATATGAACTGCAATATATTTGGATGAAATCAGGCATTTAATTCAACACTGGGGAATCCACAGCTGGGGAAGCTAAATGGAGAGTGTCAGAAGGCGCTAACCTGGAAAAGCGTCTCGTTGATTCACTTCTTATTTTCTGCCCTCCAACATATCCTTTTCTTTCACCCGTTTTAGCGACCTTTCTTGGATCAATCAGCAGCTCCTCCTCTACATCGTCTCTGGAACACAAGCAGGGCCACCCCAAGAAGCTGAATGCACGTGGCGGTAACAGGAAGACAGTGAGCAAAAGCCCTTCTGTCTCGTCTAGAGCCAGTGCTGGTATCTATGGCTTTTTCAACCAGGCTTTCTTGGTGTTTTTTATCTTGGTTTGTTTGTAAGTAGATTTGCTGTTTTTAAATGTGTAGAAGGAACCCTATACTTCAGTCAGATTGAACCACTTGCCCCCTCCCCTGTCTCCCGCAGCCCCCCACCTCCTTCCCATCCACCCGCCTACTCTGACCGCTGCCTTTCTCCTCGTGCACCTGCCCTTCTTCTTGTCTGTACTGACTTCTCTTCCTCCTGTTACTAAGGCCTCCAACCCCTCCTATAAGGCTCGTAGAACTTTGTGATAGATCCTCAGATTCTTGGAAACTGTACGGTCTGTTACCTTTCTTCTCTCTTTTCTAGTCTAAGCCTAATAGAATAATATCTCAGATGTCAAAACATGTTATACTTCCTATTTGGGGTACTATTAAAGGCTTTACATACTTTATTTCATTTAGTTCTCAAAGTAAACCTGTGGGATAGGTACTGCCATGGCCATCCTCAATTTATGAATGAGGAGGCACAGGCGTTGGTGCACAGCTGCAGTTTCTAAGTGGCACACCTGGGCTCTCCTCGCAGGTCTGTCTGGGGCTTCCCTGCTGCTGTCAGAGTCCAACTCGGTCTCCAGTCCCTTCGCCGCCTCCTCTCGCTGCAGGTCCCGGGCCCCTCCTGGCCAGTGGGTAGAGAGCAGAACCACTGCCTCTCGGTACAAGTCCAGGCTCAGGCTGCTCAGGCAGTTCTGGTGACCGCACTGTGTCATTGGCTCGAACAGAGCTTTATGCCAAGTTTCTTCCTTTTGCGTCTTGACATAGGACTTTACTTTTATTTTTATTTAATTTAATGTTAGAATTTTCGTCCCTCTGAATTTTATTTTTATATCTTGCATGTTAGCTTTTCTACACACTTTTGTGTTACCTTCTTATCTAAAACATATGCTTTCTCTGTTTTTAGCAAGGTCATTTAAAACTAGGTAGGGGAGGTTGACAATGATAACCTGTTCTGATGTGGCTTTTTGACTTACTGTGAATCCTGCATGGTCTCATTCAGTCCTCATTTCTTCAGTTATGTGTATGGATGTTTAAGACACTTTTTCTTGTTGAAATCAGCATACATAGAATTTATTGCCATTTACTTATTTACCCACATAGCAAATCTGTCCAGACAGGAAATGAAGTCATTTTGGCATAACTTTTTTTTAATGAGCCTAATAATAATAACTAGATTCTTTTTCTGATACTTTTCATTCTTATACTGAACCAATATTTTATTATAGAAAATGTTCATGATGGAATTTTTTTTTCTCTTTAAGATACTGTATTGTATGGGGAAAAAACAAACCAACCGTCAATATTAATATTGACAAAATAAACTTAAAAGTTGGAACTCTAAAAGTGGAGAACTTACCAGTTTTGCTTGAACTGTTTACCTGGAATATTTATTGTCTGAATAGATTCCCCTTCCCCTGCAACCACTTTCTGTATGATGCTGTGAGGGACAGAGGAGAGAAGTTGTGATCATGTTGCAATCCTGCTTGTCTGAATTTTGTTTACACTTCAAGGGCTCCCTCATTTGGAATTTGGGCTTTTGACATTGACTTTGTTTTAAAATTTATGTGCAGGTGTGGAATTATCTTTTTTACCCTTTATATGAAGTAGTTCTAGTGTGCTTACATATTTAACCTTTTTTTCTGTTTATAAATATGAAAGATTTGTAGACTTAAATAATACTAAAGGTGAAGAAAGTTGTCAATGAGAGTGAGAAAAGGGACCTTTTAAATGGGGAAGGAGAGAGAATGGGAGATGTGTGGCAGAAAGTCCCCGTTGGGAACCCCAAAGACATTTCCTTAAGGCGTTTTTTCTGGAGTGAGTAGATACTCCACGCTCTCTGTAGACTTGCATGTGAGGGAGATGAGGCTTGCAGAGGGTGGACGTTAGTGGGAGTCAGAGTAAAGGAGGAGGAAGAGGAGCAGCAAGAAGGGATGGGGAGATGAGAGAGGTGGGGGAGGAAGTCTGTGAGCTCAGCGCTGTTGTATCCCGATGTTGGACTTGCCATCCTTGGTCCGCGGCCTGCAGACAGCCTGGGACAGAACTGAGTGTTCTGGTCACAGGGTCTGGGTTTTAAGCCAGGTGTGCCACATACTACCTGTGAACACTATGTCTTAGTTAATCCCGAGTTTTATCTTATCCTTGATTATAATGCTCATGAAAAGCACTTTGTAAACTGTGAAGTGCTGTGGAAATGTTGGCTATTATGAGGACCTGGGACTGTTTAGTTTATGCTTTATCCAAACCTTCCTTCCCCCTGGGTTTGTGTTCCCCATTTGTTGCCGTGTTCTTAGTGTCTCCCTGTTGACAGGGTGACTTATCCTCCATCCCACACCCTCAGGCAGGGTTCCCTAGGCCTTCCCAGAGGACAGCCTGTTCATAGACTGATGGGAGAAGCCTCAAGGACCCAGCTCTTCTCTGTTACAATTGAACAGTATTTCATTCTAGACAGTATTTCTCTAGGACTTCTGATGTTCAGTAGAAGGCTGTTGAGGGTTGAGATCTGAACCAAGGTGAGAGGAAATGGTCTTGTTTCTAATAAGGAAATCAATTTGGGATAATTGGATTCCTGTGTAGCAATTTCAGTTTCACACTGAACTACTCTGATTCTAGCATTTTACTAGAACAGGGCTTGGCAGACTACAGTCCCTGGGCCAGATCCAACCTACCACCTATTTTTGTAAAAAAAAAAAAAAAGTTCTATTGAAACACACTGCCCGTTTTGTCTCTGCTTTTGTGTGACAGCAGCAGAGGGGAGCAGTTGTATTTACTGTGTAGCCTTTTACAGAAAAGGTGTGCTGACCTCTGTTCTAGTAGTGGGCACCCCCAGGAAATCGGGGTAGAGTTGACGCTACACCAGGAATCACGTAAGTTCCCGTGACAGCAATTGTCTCAGGAAACCGTTCAGATTTCTTCTGAGTAGCTTGACTTCACACGTGAGAAACACAGCCATAGATGATGTGTGTAAGGAATGGCAGCATATTGAAATCTCCAGCTAACTAGACTGCTTAGAATACGTAAGTAATTTTTCAGCTAATGTGCTTTTTGGGTTTCCCTTTTTTTTTTCTCTTTTCCTTTCCAATCCCTTTCCCCTTCCAACCCCTCAAACAGGTTTGAATTCCTCAGCAACATCTGTAGCAAATAATACGCGTTGTGAAGGAGAGCTCCGCCTTGGGGATAGGGTGTTGGTGGTAGGCCAGAGAATCGGTACCGTTAAGTTCTTTGGGACAACAAACTTTGCTCCAGGTAACTCATCTGTGTATTTTTTGTTCAACTTGCATTCTTTAGAATACAAAAGGCTTAAAATTTTATATATAAATAAAATGTACTTACAGAGAATTCTTGATTAACAGTTCTTGTGGATGGCAGCTGTGGCACAGAAAGTGCAAAACGTTGATTAAAATGCAGACCATTTTTTACTCAGGTTGACTTAGTCATGAATTTTTCTTGCCAATTATGTTTTAAAGTGTCTAATGTTAAAATTAGTTGTTACTCTCCAAATTTACTCTCACCGATTGCCGAGTGTGCTAAATAACAGAGAAAACTTCAGGATTAGATTTGTGCTAAGGATAGTCTTTGAAATGAGTAGGCAATGAGTTCACCGCAGATAGCCTTTAACAGTGGCTTGGAGAGAAAAGCAAAAGGGTTCAAAGGAAAATGAAAAAGGTTTTGCGTACCTGTGGACCTTAAAAATGCACTTTTGTGCATTTATATGTTCATTCCAGTCTAGACTTAATATTGTGTTTCCAAAGTAAAATTATCTTTCTTTTGCATTCTCAGTGATTGTAATTTCAAATAGAAGCCAGTTGAATAAAGCCACGTTTGTGTGTTTTAAATAGCAGTATGCTGTTTTGACACATGGTGGCATTGCAGCATTTTAGGAAGAGGTTACCCAGAGCATTTTCCCCCCCAAGACAGAACCAAGGAAGACCGTCTATTATAAAGCCATTGAAACTTTCCTTAAAAGCTTGAGCTGGCAGTCACTTGAACATGACAGAGTTGAGGACAGTTGTCCCCATGCCCATCCACATCTGCACCTTTCATGGCACAAACAACCAGATGGAGCTTAAGCCCCCTGACCTTCTTCCACAGGCAGTGCAGTCCCTGCAGTGGGGTCAGTTGCAGGCTGATTTTTATGCTTTTTTTTTTTTTTTTAAAGTTTGTAGCATTCTGTCAAGCACTCTGAAGGATCTGAGATTTTACCCTATTTGTATGCTGACAAGTTAGATTGTCAGAGCCTCCTAGAAGCTGGCAGAAGTTGGGAGGTTCCTGGGTCAGAGACAGGACCCCGGTGCTCTTGGCAACAGCAGTAGCCAAAGTGGCAGCATTTTCTCGTGTTTGTTTCCTGAGCCCCAGTTTCTGGGGGTGAGCTCACGAGGCCAGGTGACACCTGCACACCGGTGGTTTGTGTTGCAGGGGAGGAGCCCCGCACTTAGGGAATCTGAACCTTTATAATGGACAGTAAGCGTGCCTGTCTCTCGTGCTGGTGGAGACTCTGTCTCTGTCCTCCAAGGCTGTCTTCTCTACAGACGCCCGTGACAAGATGGTCGGTACCTCTGTCCATAGACATGCAGAAACATGGGGAGTTGTCTCTCAGCACAGTCCTGTTTCTTTAGGACCATTTATAATTCTAGTCCAACTAATTGATTGGAGATGGGCTATATGTTTTATAATTCATGTCTCTCTTAGAGCTCCAGGTAGTAATTGAGATTAATTAGAATGTTCTTGTAGGTTCTCAAATAAAAGCCTAGGAATCCCAAAGGTAGGTTATTTTTCCACAATCACCGTGTCTTTCGAGTTTCTTTTCTCTGGTTATATTAAACAAGTCTTGGATGATTTGATTCATTTGGATACAATTAATTATCTTAGGTTGACTTTTAATTTTTGAACTCCTAGCATAGAGCATTTAGAAATTTGGGAAGTAATAAGCAAATATAAAAGTTGGAAGGTTTTTGTTTAAGTCCTTCTCCCTTTTAGAAAGTAGTGCATATTTCTGTGGCATCAAAATTTGATCAGTCAGTTCCATAGAACAGTGGTAATATCTAAGCTATAGATTATAGGATGTAGACCTGACAGAGGGCATGTTTAGTGCCTTCAGCATCTTTATCAGGGCCACCTCTGAAAGCAGTCGCCGTTCAGATGGGAAAGAGATCCCCACCTCACCACTACCAGGTGGTATGTGGTCACTGCTGTTGGCACTTGCCATCATGTCTTCCTGCTGCGTGCTGCGCTCTTTGAGGAGTTGCATGGCAAACATGTAGCAGTGTTGTGGTTTATTAAAATGGAAAATGAAAATATTATGTAGGAAAGCATCAAAGGCAGAAGGAAATAAAACTTGGAAAGTTATAACTGTGGCACTCAGAGAAATAACAGTGGCAACCAGAGTAACCTGGTTAACGACATTCAGAAACGGGATGACCTGTTTTCCGGGCGTCAGTGCTGCTGCACAGTAGGTCTGTGTACGTCACTCAGTACTTGTGCATAGTAGGACTGTTTAGGTATAAACAATCTCACGCATTACTTTAGTCTTTTCAACCCCACCTCCAATATTTGGAGTAGGTTCCAGTGTTATCTTTTTGAACATAAGAGGAATAAAATTAAGAACTTCTAGATTGTCACTTTAGAAGTTATATAATTGACTCTTTGAACTGTTAATCTGAAGGAAACAATATTTTTGTAATTTGTAATAAGTTTTTTCAATAGGTTTCTCAATGTATATATATCCTTATTTTTTACTTGATACTGCTTCTAAGAGACCAGATACAATTACTACTGCACTGTCTTTTTAAGTAAAAAAAGATTGGGGTAGGTATAGCTCAGTGGTAGAGCACATGCTTAGCATGCACAAGGTCCTGGGTTCAATCCCCAGTACCTCCATTAAAAATAAATAAATAAAAATCTAATTACTCCTCCACACACACAAAAATGAATGGACTATTGGGTACTTTCAGCTGGTCAGGAGACACCCTCATCCAGAGCCATTACTCTAGGAGTATATGTCCATTTATCTAATATTTACCACACTAAAAGCAACCTCCCTCTTTAACTTCATGTTCTCTAGAAAAGGAAATCCTATTACTCCTCAGAGTGGGCTCTTTTAAATACTTGAAAGCCTTTTAGAAAATTCTTCCCATTAGCTAACCTAAATCTTTTCATTTAGATTAAAAGTGATTTTTTTTTTCATCCTGGGTGGGACTAAAACAAAAGAAAAGTCATCATGAAGTCTGGTCATATTTTCCATATTATTTTTGTCTGTAATTATTTAAGAACTGTTTGTGGTATTCTGATATTGGGAGAGCAAAATGAAAAGATTGCATGTTTATTTTATGGTTTATGCATCTCAGCATCATGCTACCCTGCTCTCACTTAGACCATATTACCAAGTGAAGGACTGTTTCTTATTATAGCTTTTAGATATGTTTTGGTCATACACTGCTTGTATTATAGCGAGTCCTTGCCAAATTTGTGTTTGTGCATTTTATCTTTCTTGGTGTACAGCTCTACAATTATGCTTGTAAAATGGTTTTCTGGTTCATTTTTCAGATTTTCAAATTTTGTTTTGTAATTTTACCTTTTGAAACTTGATGATCATGATGATCTTCCATCATTTTGGTCATTTGTGAGAATGTTAAGCCATCTTGACTTTGGATTTGTGTAACATAACCGTTTTGGATAAAGTACAGATGCTTTTAAAATCTAATATTCTCGTTCTAGGATATTGGTACGGGATAGAGCTTGAGAAGCCCCATGGCAAGAACGATGGTTCAGTTGGAGGTGTGCAGTATTTTAGTTGTTCCCCAAGATATGGAATATTTGCTCCCCCATCCAGGGTACAGAGGTGAGAAAAATGAAGTTTATGTTTATTCACAGGAACTTTTTATAATGTGCAGTGGTGTAGAGCCCCAGATTTTGTGTTACAGATGTGTGCTGACTGTAGCCCATGTTTTATTTCAAGGGGTTAACCAGCCACCTTCTTGAGAGGGCAGGTTCATGGAAAGCTAAATTTGTTTTGCTGAGGATTTGCAATTTTAAAAAACCTCCTTCATTCCTCATTTGCAAACCCTATGAGTATGTGTAGGCTATTAGAAGTGGCGTTTGCAGCTAAGAACAGTGAGAGCAGCGAGCTTAATCTGTCATGCAAACAAAAGTAAAAATGCTCCCTGATTGCTTCAGTCACATCCCAACTACATTAAATTTCCTGCCAGCAGGCACCCCATTCATTCCTCTACAAACCTAATGGAACCAAAATGGCTTTTTCCTCTGATTTCTTTAGTTTTCAAAAATAGATAGGCGGTAGATCTTTGGGGGAAGTGAAGCTTCAAGGACTTATATATAATATACCTCCTCGCTGTTTCTTCTTAAGACAGTGTACTTTTGTACTGGCTCGCTCTGGTTATGTGAAACGACCTAAGGTGCTTAGAGAAGCTGGCTTGGTATGCTTTTCAGTGGATGGGAAGTGGGGTACTGATATTTAAATAGGAAGTAACACGTATGGTATAATCACATTGGTGAGCACAGATCTGTGATCACAGCCTGGGAGTCCCAGCTCGCCCCCTTCCAGCTGGGCTGTGTGACTACCTCCTGGCAAATGTAACAGTTTTCATATCCGTTTTCCTTCTCACTCTTGTTTTTTAATTGAATAATTACATGTAACGTTTGTGTTCATTTCCTTCTGTGATGTACTTCATAATTCTTTTCTTATTATTGATGATTTTATAGCATTTAGCATACAGTGTTTTGCAGTTTATAAACCATCTTCAATTAAATGTTGTCTCATTTGATCCTAGTCAGTCTTTGGTCAGGTTGGCTGGAAAAGGGTAACTATAGGTGGTCCCTGACCTAGGATGGTTTGGCTGAGGATTTTTCGACTTTATGATGGTGCAAGAATGATGTGTGTACAGTAGAAACTGTACTTCGAATTTTGAATTTTGTTCTTTCCTCGGGCTAGCAGTGCCGAGAGCGATATTCTCTCGTGATCTGTTCAGCCGCGGCGAGCCTCTGCCCCCAGCCAGCCATGTGATCACGAGGGGGAACAGCCCCATACACTTAAACAGCCCTTCTGGACCCACTTGATCGTTCTGTTTTTCACTTTCAGGACACAGTATCCAATAGATTACATGAGGCCTTCAACCCTTTATGGTGAGATAGACTTTGTGTTAAATGATTTTGCCCAACTGTAGACTGATGTAAGTGTTCTGAGCACGTGTAAGGTAGGAAAGGCCGAGCGATGACGTTAGGTAAGTTAGGTGTATTACATGAATTTCAACTTAAGATGATTTTATCAGGATGTAACCCCATCGTAAGTGGAGGAGGATCTGTATTTACATTCCTTGAGCATTTAATAAGTGGTAGGCTCTGTACCGTGTACTTTCAATGCATATCTCATTAATCTCCCCCAAACCCAATGGGGTGTAAGGTATTGTGATCATTCCTATTTTGCAGGTAGAGAAAAGTTTCAAGAGATACAGTAACTTAGGTAAAGTCATAGAGCTAGTGTAGGAGATGAAAAACTTGTCCTCTGTCCTCTTAGATTCACTAGCTGGGCTGGGGGTGTGTCTGTGAATTAAACTGATGACAGATAGATGAACAGGAGAAAAATCATACACATTTATTAAATTTTAATTTTACACGCATGGGGCATCACAGAAAGCAGTGAATACCCAAAGGAGTGGTGAGATTGCAGAGTTTATGGACCATCTTAATAGGGGAAAAGGAGGGAGAGAATGGCCACTTTTGGGAGAGGAAATGATGTTTAGGAAAGATCAGTAGGTCCTTAGGAAAATGGATGGGGATGTGATGGTTTGTGACACTACCTCTCTGGGTGTGGTGTTAACTCCTTGTCTCCTCTCCTGTGAAGAGAGCCCGTCTTCCTACTTGACGAAACCCCTGGTGAGGGGATTTATGACAATTGAGTTCTTTTTTTTCCGGGCGATCTGTTTTAGGCAGATAAGGGGAGTTCAGAGAAAGCCTCTTTGTGCATTTGTTGATTCTCAAACGTCTTCAGCTCAAAATAATCCTTACTCCGGAGCGGCTTGTTTTGGACAGTGTATTTTGATCTTCCCCACTAGTTAATGGTGGAGCTGGACTCAGCCCAGGTTTGTTATTTTGTTGTTGTTTTTTCCCTAAGCCCTTGCTTTAAGACAGTTTGCTGTTTTTCCAGTAGTGATTTTATAAATGAAGAAAAAGAGCTAATAGCTAATAGCACTCATATATGCAGGCGCTGTTTTGAGTGCTTTGTTTGCGTTGTTGACTCCCCTGCCGCAGCCCTGTGTGTCAGGCCCTGTAGTCATCTCTGTTTCACAGGTGGGGAAAGTAGGAAACAGAGAGGTTAAGTGAGTTGTGCAGTTGTGCACAGCGCTCAAGTGGGGATTTGAGCCCAGGCAGTCTGATATCAGAATGTGTGCTCTTAACCATTACCCTATAATGATTAAAAGAGGCTCAGTGACTTTCTTCAGGACCTATATCTTGTAAATAATTGATTTGGAAATAAAATCCATACTAAGTCACCAGTCAGTCTTCTGGGTTCTCATATTACTTTGAACAAATCTTCATTAACACATTGCTGCAATCTCTTAGAAGTTTTATCTGTCTCCTAGTCATGAGGACTGGAATTCTCCATTTCATGTTTGATTACCCAAGGGACATAGTTTGGCACAGTAAATATTGATCAAATCTCATTCAGTGTTTTTTATGCTGTAATAGCTTTATTCTCTGTTATATTGTGGAACAACTTTCTCTGTCCTGGTTTTATCTTCTTTTTCTTCCTTTGTTTATGGAACACTTTTTTTCTTTTTTTTTTTTTTGCCATGTACTTGGTCTTCTTTAAGGTGATTCGTGTAAAAGCAGCCCCTTGTCTTAGAAGAAGCGGGGCTTTCTCTCTAAATGAACTGCTGTCTCCATCCAGCTGTCTTCCTGTCGTCTTCTGATTGTCTCATTCATCATCATCAAATACTATTAAGTGTCTTTTAGCACTTTGTGCTGTGCTAGGCATTCTATAAGCAAATAAAACAGAGATGGTGCCTGATTTTGGGAAGTTTCCAATTTAAACCAGCTTTGGAGCTCTTTAAAGACACCACTAATCTTCAAGAGGGAAGAATTTTATTTTATTTTAAAAATTCATTTATTTTAAGCAACTTTATTGCGGTATGATTTCTGTACAGGAAACCACACATGTTTCAGATGTACAATTTGATGAATTTTGATAGATGTATATATACCCCTATGAAACCACTGCCACAATCAACATATCCAGCATTTCCATCACTCCCCAAGAGGTGCAAATTTCAAACTCCTAATTTATCCCTTCCCACCCCTTTTACTTCCTGGTAACCATAAATCTGTTCTCTATGTCTGTGAGTCTATTTCTGTTTTGTAAAGAAGTTCATTTGTGTCTTTTTTTAAGATTCCACATTTAAGCGATATCATGTGGTATTTTTCTTTCTCTTTCTGGCTTACTTCACTTAGAATGATTATCTCCAGGTCCATCCATGTTGCTGCAAATGGCATTATTTTATTTTTTTAATGGCTGAGTAGTATTCCATTGTGTATATATATACACCATATCTTTATCCAGTCATCTGTCAATAGACATTTAGGTTGTTTCCATGTCTTGGCTATTGTAAATAGTGCTGCTGTGGATGTGCATTGGGGCACATGTGTCTTTTTGAATTGTATTTTTCTCTGGGTATGTGTCCAGGAGTGGGATTGCTGGATCATATGATAAGTTTATTTTTATATTTTTAAGGAACCTCCGTATTGTCTTCCATAGTGGCTGTACCAATTACATTCCCACCAACACTGTAGGAGGGTTCCTCTTTCTCCACACCCTCTCCAGTATTTATTATATATAAACTTTTTAATGATGGCCATTATGACAGGTGTGAGGTGATATCTCATTGTAGTTGTGATTTGCATCTCTCTAACAATTAGCAATGTTGAGCATCTTTTCATGTGCTTATTGACCATCTGTCTGTCTTTGGAGCAATGTCTGTTCACATCTTCTGCCCATTTTTTGGATTGGGTTCCTTGTTTGTTTTTTTGGGTTTTTTTTTTGTTTTTTTTTTTTAATATATTAAGCTGTATGAGCTGTTTGTGTATTTTAGAAATTAGTCCCTTGTCAGTTGCATCATTTGCAAATGTTTTCTCCCATTCTTTAGGTTGTCTTTTCATTTTGTTGATGGTATCCTTAGCTGTGCAAAAGCTTTTAAGTTTAATTAGGTCCCATTTGTTTATTTTTGCTTTTATTTCCATTACTCTAGGAGCTGGTTCAAAAAACATATTGCTGTGATTTATGTCCAAGAGTGTTCTGCCTATGTTTTCCTATAGTAGTTTTATAGTATCTGGTCTTACATTTAGGCCTTTAATCCATTTTGAGTTCATTTTTGTATACGGTGTTAGAGAATGTTCTGATTTCAGTCTTTCACATGTAGCTGTCCAGTTTTCCCAGCACCACTTATTGAAGAGATTATCTTTTCTTCATTGCATATTCTTGCCTCCTTTGTTGTAGGTTAATTGACCCTAAGTGTGTGGGTTTGTTTCTGGACTTTCTGTCCTGTTCCATTGATCTGTGTGTCTGTTTTTGTGCCAGTACCATACTGTTTTGATTACTGTACCTCTGTGGTATAGTCTGAAGTCAGGGAGTGTGATTCCCCCAGCCCCATTCTCCAAGAAGAAAGAATTTTAAACTCGGGACTCCTGAGAACAGTCAGTCATGTAGTGACCAGTCACAACCTCACCTTAAATTGCTCCCCACATTGTAGCTGGCCTTTTTTTTTTTTTTTTCAACTTTTCCATTAAAAACATGTGCCTCCTGTCCTCGAATCTTTCTATGTGTTATTTCCTCTTCTTGGATGGCTTTTTACTATCACCCAACTATCATCTAGTTAATACCTTTCCTTCTGTTAACATATAAATCAAACAATATTTCTTTAGAGAAATTCTAAGACTCACTGACTAGATCTAGTCTTATCTATCTGTCCATTTTTTGCTTAAGTGGTCTTTGTCAGCATAGTATTAATTTTCTTGTTCTTGGTTCATACCATTAGGTACTTACTAGTAATGAACTGATCACTCTTAGAATTAAGTTCTTCTCAACTCTTCATTACAACTTAATTCAAGTATCTGTCCTCGTCATTGAGTCATTCTTTGCATTCATCAATCTCTCATTGTTTGCTATATGTTATATATCATGTAAAAATGATCCATATGAAGTGCATGATAAAATTGCAAATATTGCAAGAGTTAGAGGATTTGTTTATGGTACCAATGTGTGCTGGAGCAAGTGATTGATAGAATGAAGGCTTTGCAGATTTAGGTCAGTAAACTATTGGGAGAAAATGAGACTGTTTTATAGAATTGGCTTTTTAAAAATAAAGAATGGTTTGAATATCAAAAAAATGTAGACAGACCTGTCGGGAAAGGGAAAATGACCTACATGATTGTGCTTAGAGTCAAGTATAAAGTAAAAGATGTTGAATTGTATTAGCCAAACAGGTTTATTAGAAAAATCACGTATATATACAGACTCAGCTGATACATTTTTTCCCAACATAAAAATGTGATGTTTTCACAATTACAATCTAACAATTACTACATTTAGCATAAGATAAAAATTTCACATTTTTTAGTTTTATCTTTGAAGTCAGGCCCCTATTTGAAATGAATTCACTTGAAGTTGACTTTTTCTGTACTTATTATCTTTACATAAAAAAGACTTCTGTCTTATTATTGCCTCTGTCTGGTGCTAGATTGAAGTTCATTCCTGACTCATAAAAGATGCTCTGTAAATGTTGAATGAGTGAAACAAGAAATAACCAATGGCATGAAACCCTCAGTTAAGTGCCAGTCATAAATCTGAAGACCAGCTACTTCTAATGGGGTTTGCATTATTTGTTTTATTCACAGAGTAACAGATTCCCTGGATACTCTTTCAGAAATTTCTTCAAATAAACAGAATCATTCTTATCCTGGTAAGATCACACAGTTTTATGTTCCTAAGAATTATTCCTTTGCTTTTATTCATTGAAAAAATTTTATTGTGAAGTGTATATGTATACAAAAGAGTATATGAAATATATTTATATAGTTCATGTAATCATAAAGCAACATCTATTACCTACTGCATAGCTGAAGAAGATGATTACTTGTATGTACTGTAGAACCCCCTGAGTATCCCCCAGTCTCACCTGCCTCCCTTTTCATATAGTCTGACCTCAAGTTATGCATCTTGAATTTTATGTTAATTCCTTTGATTTTCTTTATGTCTTTCTCCCATGTATAGATATGTTAATAATTAATGTTTAGATTTGATTGTTTGCTATTTGGTTATTTAGTGGTCCATTAAAATACATTATTCACTCTCTATTTGATGGATATTTGGGTTATATCCTGTTTGTCACTATGCTGTTGTGCACATTTGCAAAAGCGTCTCTAGCTAGGATTGCTGGCACAAGGTGTGCCCATCTCTTCAGTCTTCCTTGATATGCCAGACTGTCTGCGTGGGCAGTGGATGAGAGTCTCTGCTGCTCTTCACCTCACCAGCACTAGTCCTGTTTGATTTGGAAGTCTTTGTGCATCTGTTGGATGTAAATGGTATCTCCTTGTGGTTTTAATTTGCATTTTCCAGATTGCAAATGAGGTTGAGCTTGTGCTCATGTTTATGTACCACATGCGTTCCCTGTTTTATGACGTGCCTATTCAAGTCTGCTGCTCACTTTTTTTTTTTTTTGGTTGGTTGGTTTCTACCTTATGAGTTTGTAGTTTTCTTTATGTATTTTGGACACCAATATTTTGTCAGTTTTGTTGCAGATATCTTGCCCAGTTTGTGACTTATCTTTTGCCCTCCTCCCTTTTTGGTGTCTTTTGTTGAGCAGATGTTTTTAATTTTTAACTGTTAGCAAAACCATTATTTTTTCCATGTTTTGTCTTAAGAAAACTCTTCCTAAATCAGATATCATAAAGATATTTTCCTATATTGCTTTCTAAGTTTTTTATATTTTTGCTTTCCGTGTTTGTCACTTTACCTGGAATTGACTTTGTGTATAGTAAGGATCTAGTGTCATTTTTTTCCATATGGTTAACCACCTATGAAAGAGTGATTTGTATAATACTAGTGCTTAAATATTTGTTGAGATTCATTTCATGGACCATGGGTTTTGGCCATTCTGATAGATGTGTACTAGTATCTTGTTGTTTTAATTATTACTATTTTTTAATTGATGTATACTCAGTTATGATGTGTCAGTTTCTGGTGTACAGCACGTTTCAGTCATACTGTTGTTTTAAGTTGAAACTCCCTAATGACTTGATGTTGTATTGGTTTGCTAGGGCTAGCAAAACAAAGTACTGCATGGGATGGTTTAAATAACAAAAATCTATTCTCTCAGAATTCTGAAGGCTGGATGTCTGAGATCAAGGAGTTGGCAGGGTTGATTTCTTTCTTTTCAGGCCTCTCTTTCCCTATAGAAGGCCACCTTCCTCCCATGTCTTCACAGGATCTTTTCCTCTGTGTGTGTGTCTGTGTCCTAATCTCTTCTTACAAGGACACCAGTCATGTTGGATTAGGGCCCCACCCACATGAACTCGTTTTAACTTAATTACCACTGTAAAGCCCCTGTCTCCAAATACAGGCCTGTTCTGAGGAACTGGGGGGTTAGAATTTCAACATGTGGATTTTAGGGATGGGGACACGATTCAGCCCATACCAGATGCTGAGGGTCTTTGCGTATACTTATTTGCCATCTTACATCTTTGGTAAATTGTCCATTCATATCTTTTTCCCATTTTAAAATTGTGTTTGCTGTTTTCTTACTGTTTTAAGAGTTTTATATTTTGGATACTGGACTTTCATCAGGATGTGTTTTGCAACTACTTTCTCCCCATCTGTGGCTTGTCTTTTCATTGTCCTAACAGTCTGTATCACAGAAGTTTTTGATTTTAATGAAGTCCAAGTTATCAGGTTGTTTTTTTTTTTTTTTCATGACTTGTGCTTTTGCTGTATCTGAAATGTCGTCACCAAACCCACGGTCACCCTGATTTTCTCCTACGTTATCTTCTAGGAGCTTTATATTTTTGCTGTTACCCATTTATATCTATGACACATTGAGTTAATTTTTGTGAAAAGTGTGAGGTCTGTGTCTAGATTCATTGTTTTGCATGTGAATGTTTAGTTACTCCAGCATATTTGTTGAAAAGGCTGTTCTTTCTCTATTGAATTGTCTTTGCTCTTTTGTCAAAGATCAGTTGACTGTATTTTTGTGGGTCTATTTCTGGGCTCTCTGTTCTGTTCTGTTGATATATTTGTCTTTTCTTTTGCTAATACCACAGTATTTTGATTACTGTAGCTTTATAGTAATTCTTCAGGTTTAGTAGTGTCAATATGCTGACTTTGATCTTCTCCCTCCATATTGTGCTGGTTGTTCTGGGCGCTCTGCATTTCCATATAAACTTTACAACAAGTTTGTTGATGTCCACAAAATAATTTGCTGGGATTTTGATTGGGATTGCAATCAATGTATGGATCAAATTGGGAAGAACTGACATTTTAACAATATTGAACTTTTTGATCCATGAACATGGAATACCTCTGTATCTACTTAAATCTTCTTTGAGTTCTTTCATCAAAGTTTTATTATTTTGCTAATGTAGATTTTATACATTTTTTATTAGATTTATACTCACATGTTTCATTTTTTGGTGTTAATGTAAATGGTACTGCTTTATAATAATTCTTTTTACCTTGTATCAGCCTTCTTGTGGTAAGTATTTGCCTAAAAAATCTTTTTCTAGCCATTGCCTTAACTTTTCTATGTCCTTATACTTTTGGAATGTTTTCTAAATAGAATGTAATTGGATTTTACTTTAAAAAACAATTTGGTCTGACAATCTTTGTCTTTTAACCTGAGCATTTCACCCATTTGCATTCATTGTAACTACTAATATATTTGGATTTATTTATATTTTATTTATTTTCTAATTTTTCAACTTTTTTGTACTTAAATGTTTTTCTTTTTTGACACCATTCCTGTTATATTCCTATCCCCTCTTTTTTTCCCATTTTCTTTTCTATTTGTATGTGCTCTCTCCCAAATAACAAATCCTTAGAAACTTAGTTATTCAGTTTCTACTTGATTTCCCCCACAAATTTTGCATTATTATAATAGTTTTTATATAATCAACATTTATTTAATTTGCTCACACATATTTACCAATATCTTTAGTCATTAGTCCTCAGAACTTTTACTTGGGATAATTTTGTTTCTACTTCATGTATATTCTTAAATTTCCCTTAGAAAGAGACTGTTGGTAGCGAACTCTCTCAGGTTTTGTCTGTCTTTTCTAATGATAGTTTTACTGGGTAAAACTAAAACTTGGTGACATTTTTAGTTTGAAAGATATTTTCTCCCTGCACATTGACAATATAGTCTACTGTTTTCTGTCTTCTGCTGAATTTTTGAGAAGTCATCTGTGAGTCTGTCTAATCCATACTGTTGTAGGTGGCTTTTCTCTTTTTGACTTGACTGCCTTTGAAGACTGCTGCTTCTCTATTTCCTTTGTGCCGTGCAGTTTCACTGTGATGTGTCTAGGTGGAGATTTCCTTTTGTTTATCCTATTTGGTGTCATGGGTCTTCCTGAACCTAGGAATTAGTATATTTGATTAACTTTTAAAAATTCCTGTCCATATGTTGAAAATACTGCTTTCTTCATACTCTTTTTATCTCCTTCTGAAACTCTGATAAGCGGTGTAGTCCACTTTTCCCCTCTTTCCATGCCTCATTCATGTCTTTTACAATTTTGTCTCTGGACTGCGTTCTGGATATCTTCAGAGCTTTCCTTACCTTTCTTGAGTCTTTCTTCCGTTATGTTTATTCTACTCCTTAATCCAACCATAGTTTTTTAATTATAAATTTTTCATTTCTTTTTTCTTTTTGCAGATCTGGTTGTTACTTATTTACACTTATTCTTTCCCCTGTTTTTATGCTTTTTTATATTTTGAAACATTTTAAGTATTATTACCTCTGTTTATTAATTCGGTATCTGAAGTCTTTGTCTTATTCTGCCATCTCTTTTCTGTTGAGCGTAACTTATGGTGCCTTTTCTTGTCAGTTTTGTAATGTATTATTGTGAGATGCTTCTTTAATTCAGAATTTAACATATGGAAATTCTTTGAGGCCTGGGCCACTGTCTGCAGAAAAGATTATACGGGCATAACTTGTCTTATTGTGCTTTGCTTTTTTGTGCTTTGCAGATACTGCATTTTTTTAAAACAAATTGCAGGTTTGTGGCAACCTTGTAGTGAGCAAGTCTATCAGCACTATTTTTCCAACACCATTTGCTCACTTCATGTCTCTAGGTTGCATTTTGGTGATTCTCACAATGTTTCAAACTTTTCCATTATTATTATATTTGCTATGGCCTGTGATGGGTAATCTTTGATGTTACTATTGTAATTGTTGTGGGGGTACCATGAAATGTGCTCATATTAAATGGCAAACTTAATCCATAAATGTGTATTCAGATTGCTCCACCAACTGGCCGTTTCCCTATCTCTCTCCCCCTCCTTGGGCCTACCTATTCCCTGAAACACAACAATATTCAAATTAGGCCAATTAATAACCCTTCAGTGACCTCTGAGTGTTCAGGTTAAAGGCAGAGTCGCATGTCTCTCACTTTAAATCAAAAGCTAGAAATGATTAAGCTTATGAGGAAGGCATGTGGAAAGCCAAGACAGGCTGAAAGCTAGGTCTTTTGTGCCAAACCGTTAGCCAGGTTGTGAATGCAAAGGAAGAGTTCCTGAGGGAAATGAAAAGTGCTACTCCAGCAAGTGCACAGATGATAAGAAACAGCCTTATTGCTGATATGGAGAAAGTTTCAGTGGTCTCAACAGAAGATCAAACCAACCACAGCATTCCCAGAAGCCAGAGCCTAATCCAGAGCAAGGCCCTAACTCTCTCCAATTCTGCAAAGGCTGAGGGAAGTGAAGAAGTTACAGAGGAAAAGTTTGAAGCTAGCAGAGGTTGGTTCATGAAGTTTAAGGAAAGACGCCATCTCCATAACATCAGAGTGCAAGGTGAAGCAGCAGGTGCTGATGTAGAAGCTGCAGCAAGTGATCCAGAAGATCTAAGATCATTAATGAAGGTGGCCACACTAATAACAGATTTTCTATGGAGATGAAACAGCTTCATATTGGAAGAAGATGCCATCTAGGACTTTCACAGCTAGAGAGGAGAAGTCAATGTCAGGCTTCAAAAGAAAGGCTGACTTTCTTGTTAGTGGCCAGTGCAGCTGGTGACGTTAAGTTGAAGCCACTGCTCATTTACCATTCCGAAACTCCTAGGGCTCTGAAGAATGATACTAAGTCTACTCTGCCTGTGCTCCATAAATGGAACAATAAAGCCTGGACAACACATATATGTATGACATGGCTTATTGAATATTCTAAGCTCACTACTGAGACTGCTCATAAGAAAAAGATTGCTTTCGAAATAGTACTGCTCATTGACAATAAGAGAGTATTGACTTCCACGTCTTACTGTTTAAGAAATACTTTTCGTAAGGCTACAGCTGCCATAGGTAGTGATTCCTCTGTTGGATCTGGGCAAAGTCAATTCAAAACCTCCTGGAAAGGCTTCACCATTCTAGATGTCACTAAGGACATTCATAATTCATGGGAGGAGGCTGAAATACCAGCAGTAACAGGAGTTTGGAGACGCTGACTCCATCCCTTGTGAATGACTTCGAGGGCCTCACGGCTTCAGGGGAGAGGAGGTAACTGCAGATGTGGCAGAACTAGCAAGAGAACTAGAAGTGGAGCCGGAAGATGTGACTGAATTGCTGCAGTCTCACAATATAAAACTTGAACAGATGAGTCGCTGCTTATGGATGAGCAAAGAAAGTGGTTTCTTGAGATGGAAGCTACTCCTGGCGAAGATGCTGTGAAGATTGTTGAAATGGCAACAAAGGATTTAGAATATTACGTGAACTTAGTTGATAAAGCAGCAGTAGGGTTTGAGTGGATTGACTCCAATTTTGAAAGAGTTCTTCTGTGGTTAAAGTGCTATCAAACCGCACTGCATGCTACAGAGAAATTGTGCGTGAAGGGAAGAGTCAGTCAATGTGTCAGACTTCCTTGTTGTCTTATTTTAAGAAATTGCCACAGCAGCCCCGGTTTTTAGCAGCCACCACCCTGATCTGTCAGCAGCCATCAACATCGAAGCAAGACCCTCTACCAGCAAAAAGATTTCAACTCACTGAAGGCTCAGATGATGGTTAGCATTTTTTTTAGCAATATAGTATTTTTAAATTAAGATATGTGCGTTTTTTTAAAAATATAATGCTGTTGCATACTTACTAGAACTACAGTGTAGTGTGAACATAACTTTTTTATGTACCGGGAAACCATAAATCCATGACTCGCTTTGTTGAAATACTTGCTTTATTGTGGTGGTCTGGAATCGACCCTGCAGTACCTCCGAGGTGTGCCTGTTTTCACTTCTGCTAGTTGCCTAGAGGCACTGGGACTACTTTAATTTACATCCGCTGCGACATTGTTATTGTTTTTATATTGCACAGATAAAATGAATATGGCCTATGATTACAAATTTTGAGGGGAGAGGATTTTGCCTGCTGCACATTACGGTTGACACAAGCTACTTTCCTTTGTCTTCATCCAGGGGACGTTTCATTTTGTTTCTCATTTAATCTGCACTTGAGAGTGAGCTGTTCGGAATCCTCATTTTATTGAAATCCCCATCTCGGAGGCCGTGGGCTCGGCGTCCTTCCCTGCCTCCTGTGCAGCGGGCGAGGCGGAAGCCCGGGTTCCCTAGCGGCCAGTGCGGTCCTGGGGGACACGGTGGCAGATTGCTTTGGGGGAAATCTCTCGTGGTTTCTTTTTTTGGCTTTTGGCCTCTTTGAAATTGTACCACTTATGTGAGCTCCACAGTATTTTTTTTTTAATTGTAGTTGCTTTAAATTGTACTTGCTTCATTCAAGAGATTCACTCAGCACATCTGGTCTGCCTTGACTGCCAGAGCTGGAGATCCTGTTCTTCAAAAACATCTTTTAAAATTTTTACCTTGTGTGAAGTCTTTTTTCTTATGACTGTCATTTGGGGATGCCAACAATCAAGCTCTGAAATTTATTGTTCAGTATTTTATAAATGGGGTATCATTAATGGTAGCATTTTAAAACTATTTTTATCCTTTTCCTTTTTTACATATGATTTATCAAGATCATAATATTTGAGAGTAAGAAGATTGAGCTTTATCAATATATAATTCGGTTTTGTTTGGTTTTCAGAAAAGTCTATAATGAAAATCTCCAAAAGGAATGTCATTATCTTACTCACGTATGTGCGTAGTTTGATGAGAAAGGTCAGATAGCAATTGTGAAAAAAACCTAAACTACTGTTAACATCCTGCATGCACTTATTTTCTTTGCTTTCTATTTCCAAAGAAATATTTGGTAAAATAGAACATTCATAGAAGAAATGACAAAAGATAATTTTTCACAAGGGCTGTGAATTTGTGATTTATTTTTCCTTTTCTGACTTTAGCTTTCATGTTTTAGGTTTTAGGAGAAGTTTCAGTACAACTTCTGCTTCTTCCCATAAAGAGATTAACAGAAGAAATGCTTTTGCCAAGTGAGTATTAGAAGATTTAGAAAAACACCTTTCAAGATGAACATTACAGGATTCTGTGAAGGAAGAAAAGTGGGATTTTGTATCTTTTACATCGCTTGGTAGAATTTTAACTCTTAGGAGAAAAGGTGTGATGAGTGTATCAGTGAGAAGAATTCTTCCTCCCTCCTCTGCAAGCTCAACTAAAACTGTCACCAGTGACTCAAAGAAGTAGTGTGCTGACTATATTTTCAAAGAGGCTTAGTGCTGCTAATAAAAGTTGGAGGAATTTACATTTTGTGTTATCATTGAGTAGGGCAGATTGATTTTAAACTGTTTACTTAATTAGTCAGAAATTTGATTTAATATTTTGGGTAGTACCTGAAAGAAATGTCCGGCCTATTTGCATTAAGTAATCCTGCTATTATTTTAAAAAATACTCTTGCTTCCTCTTGTAGAATATACTCCTCAAAAGGCTTTTTTTTTTTTTTTGGTGGTGGTTTCTTTGTAGAGAGAGTCTCCTTTTTTCTTTTTTCTTTATATTGATTTCCCCCAGACCCACTTTACTCCCGCTAATAGTTTTCTGGGGCTTTTAGAACTTTTTTTACTTCTAGAAGAATATGAGGCTCTTGTAGACTGGTGGGGTTAAGGAGTTCTTTTTTTTTTTTTCTTTTAACTTTAAATCCTTCCAATTAATGTACGAAAAATGTCCTGAGGGAAAGAAGTCTCGCTGAGTAGGGAAGTGCACTAGCAGTGAGGCCCTGGGAGCCGCGAGGAAGCAGGGCCCACGCACTGAGCTGGACACTCAGCCGAGCAGCAGACAGTCTGTGTGATACTCTGGCACGAAGTTACCGGGAGGCCTCATGAAGATCTGAAATTCCACGCGAGAACCCTCTGGGTCCTGAGGCACGGTTAGGCGCTGTTCAGTGGGGTTGGGTGGGTTTTTTTGTTTTTTATTTTCCCCCTTCCTCAAAACCTTTACCAATTTTGAGATTTTATAATTGGTCTCCTCACTTGAGTAGCTGAAAGAGCTTAAGAACAATGACTTTATGCCCCAGTTTATTGAAGATATTCAAGAGGTCTTAGGCAGAATGGAAGAAATTACTAAGAAGAAACAACCTGGAGATAAAGGATTTTGAAGGGGGAGAGGTATCAAAATCAGTGTGGAGATGCTGGTAAGTGAAAGAGCATGATGAAGAGAAACAAGGGAAGGAGAAAAAAATCTGAACCATGGGAATTACACAGCAGGTATGGGTATGTGCAGGTGGCCTGCTCACGTGAGACGGGAATAGCAGTGCTTCTGTTTGTTTTCTTTGAAATAAATGAAGCTTTACTCTTAACTTCTATAGATTGACACTAGTACCTATTTAGAAAAAGAAATATACTTTTATTGAGGATACATAATCAACTTAAATTTTATCTGTTTATGTTTTACTTATTCTTTACTTACTTACTTATCTTTTACTTATAGACCAGATGTTTGGTGATCAGTACTACAGGGAATAAAAGAAAGATTAGGTGTTGGCAGGTCCTAGGAAACCTGTCCGTGATCGCAGGAGTAAGAGACTGTGATTGGATGTCCTTTTGCTGAGGGCCAGAGTTGATTGTATATCGTGTTGCTGTTAATCTGGAAATGTGATGTATTCTGAAGAATATGGGTTGAAAAAAATGAGTTTATTGACATTTACCAAATGCTGAACCATTTTCTTGCTTATTCATATGGAAATAAAAGGTACTTTTAGAAGCAGAAGAAACATGGGAAATACAGAGATAATGCAGATCCCTAGGTAAGGAACTTGAAGGGCTTGGGACAAAGGGCATGTTTGCCCCACGTGAGCCAAAGAGAACTGAGGAAAGGGAAACAGCAGCCACCAGGCCGTTTTCGAGAAAGAGCGGGTGTGTTTCTCTAGGTCATTGAGGTGGCGGTGATGAGAGCTTTCATTCAGAGGAAAAAGTGATAGAGAGGGGGTTGGAAGCGGTTCTTCTGACTTGAGAATTCTCTATCTATAACCAGGACTAGGGGTAATACAGGGAGCTTGAGACGCTGGCGTAGCTGTCACTGCCACCTGGTGGGCACGAGGCATCCTCCCCGCACACCACCTACCTCCAGCCTGTGGTCTCCTGCACCTCATCCCCGTGGTTACTAGCTTAGCTCCTCCCTGTGTTTTCACAGTGTGTCTGCTTAAGAGTCTCCATGGGTCCTATCTGTGGGACCCAGCCTGGTGTCACAATATATTTGGTGGGCTCAAACCTGAATGTCTTGGGGTAGATCTCAGATAATCCCATTTGCCGTGGGTTCCATCATTTCACATCACGTTTCATCTTCTGCCTGTCCCGCAAAGCTTTTGAATTCTCAAATGCAGAATGGAGTCCAGGTTCATTGGCACAGCATGTAAAAAGGACTGTCTTTTTCTCCTGACTTACTTCCCGTGGTAGAATCCTCACCAGTGTCTAGCAGTTCTCTAAACTCTCTGTGCCGTTCAGAAAAAAAATGTAATACATAATACAGTTTGCTCCAATGACTGTGTCTCCCTCCCTTTTGTGTCTGCTGATCTGTCAGATTTGCTCAAGTGTCACTTCCCCCACTGAAGTGTCTTCCCTGGGACCTTTAGGGAGGATAGATTCTCCCTCTCTTGTGCTCCTTCTGCAGCATGCATGGTCTTTAATTGCAGCATCTCTAACATTGTACAAATCACCTTGCACAAATTCCTGGAACCCAGTCCCGGACCTGCCATTTCATAGGTTATCAGTGTTTTTGAATGAGTAAACGTAACTTTCAAATGTAGTGTAACTTCTAAATTTCTCACATCCCTGCACTTTTAGAGTTTTGACATAACTTGAATCAAATCCTCCTTATTAGAATGTTAAGTCTTTACCCAGACTATTAATTTTTGGTTTAGATATTGCTGAATTCACTTATTACTTGCTTGAATTCCCTTAAAATTTTTTTGATTATGAAATCAATTGTACAGAATTTGAAGAATTACAGTAAACTAAATGCAGATAAAGGTCATCTGTAATTTTATCACCTAGATGAGATTATCACTGTTAGCATTTTGTCTTATCCTTTTCTATTTTTTCTGATGCATATATCTGAATTTTTAAGCAAAGTTGGACAAAGCATACTCTGTACACCCTTTGAAAGATTTTCCCCTTAACAGATCCCATATTCTTTAATAATTTTCCTCAGTGTGATTTTTGCAGTGTTTTTAAAGACTGAGCTGTGATGGAGACATTTTTATGGCATGATAATAAGTGAAAAATAATAATTTAATAGTAAATGCCATACTTTTAAAACCTGTCTGTCTCCTTCCCTCCCCACTAGTGTGTGTGTGTTTGTGTGTTCAGATAAATATCCAGGTTTCTTTCCTTCTACTTCTTTCTTTTTATCAATTCATGCATTTAACTCTTTTATCTATTTGGGATTTATTTCAACATATAGTGAGTGATAAGAATCATATTCTTTTCCACCAAATAATTAATGAAGTTTTACAGCATCCCTAATTTAATGTTCACTCCTTTCCCACTGATTTGAAGTTTTACTTCTTATCACCAATGAAATAATTATGTGTATTTTTCTGAGATGTGTTTTCTGTGCATTTAAAAGTATATTCCTTACCACTTACGAGCTCTGTGGCCCTGAGTGAGGTACTTAAACCTCTGTGCCTCAGTCTTCCCATCAGTAAAATATTGGCTACTCCAAAAGTTACCATAAATGAGTATCTGTAAAGTACTTACAACAGCATTTGCATAATAAGTGTTCTATAAAGATTTGCAGCAAAAAAATTGCAGTTCTGTGAATGAGGTATTTTCCTTTTCAGGAATGAGAAATAAACTGCCCAAGGTCAAAGAATTAAAAAAAAAAGTACATTCTTATGCCAGGGTCATGTTGTTTTAATTATTGTAACTATAGTTAAACATTACTGCAGTGCAAATCTTGCCATGTTAATATTTTTCAACGTTTTCTTAATTATTAGTACCCGTTATGGTTGTGCGTAGGAGCCTGGCCTTTGTGCCTGGACAGCCTTGGGTCTGAGCCCCAGCTTGCCTCTTTACCACCTCTCTGATCTTGGGCAAATAGCTTAATTTTTCTTAGCCTCAAATTCTTCTTCTGTTAGGAGATGATCGTGTATCTACAGCACTGGTGGGTGATGTTGGATGAGATAATTTGTGTCAAGTGTTTGGCACATAGTAAGTGCACAGGAAATGATAGATCCTGTCATTATGTGAAATTCAGAGCAAGTTCATCAGGTTGCAAAAAAATACCATTTAGGGGAGGATTTATATATGTATGTCTCTATCCAGGAACAAAACTCTTATTTTTATTTTTATGCTCTTTAGTCAATATTTATACTTTTCTTACAGGTATTATGTATTTCTTTGCTAAATTTATTGTTGTATTTGTGTATTTGACGTGGTAAAAAATCATTTTCCCATTACATTTTATAACTGGAATGTGTCAGGGGTGGCGTAGGAGAGGCTTAGGACCTCAGTTTTCCTCCCACACAGTGAGAGTGCTCATTCTTTTTCCAGGGTGTGTGACAGAGTCTGTAAAGATACAGAAAGTGACATAAAGTAGAAAACAGGCAGGACCCAGACTCTGTGCACAGTCAGGCACTGTGCGGTTTCGGTAGCAGGTTCCGCATTGTCCCCACTGTGGGGACGGGAAGAAGGTTCCTCTTGGGGGAGGGGTGGCATGGATGGCGGTGGGAGGCTCCACTGGTGGTGGTTTCTGGGTAAATGTTTTGGGAGGTCTCAGGTCATAGGGCAACAAGATCCGGGTCATGTTTCTATGTTGGGCGCATCTCAGGATCAGCTACTTCCCAGGGACAGTGGCAGAAGCCCTGGGCGGCACTGGCCTGAGGCCTCGGGGGAGGTCTGTTTGTGGGTGCAGGTCAGGTTGGTGGTGGGTGCTCAGAGGCAGTACGTTATAAGTAGTGTTTCGTTGTAGAGGAGAGGAGAGGAATCCTGCTCCAGGCAACCAAGCTCCTTCTCGTGTTAGCGGCAGGGAGAGCGGTAAACCCTTAAATGTAACTGGAGTTCATTCATAGAAGGGGGTGTGTGTGTAGTTTCTAGGGCTGTGGATTAACAGTTTTTAAAGATGGTTTTCGTGTAAAGAAATATTTGAAAAGTGAACAAAAGGTAACGTAACTTTACCACGGCCAAAATACTAGGTTCTTGGCTTTTTGTTTTATTGAATTGGTGTAGGTATATTTTTTCTAGTTGCTATTTTGCTGAGGGCCTACGCGTATATAAGTTGCTAGTGAAATCTTAAATCCAGATTAGGGCAGTATTAAAATAGCCAAAAGAGAAAACCTTTTTAATGTTAAAAGCATCCTCTAATATTGCTCTTTAGAATAAAAAGTCAGGTTGTGAGCAGGTG